TGGCTCAGTAGAATAAGCACTTGCCGGGCAAGTGGAAGGGTCTGAGTTCACTCCTTGGATATGCAAAAAAAACAAAAAAAAAAAAAAAAAAAACAACCAGAAGTCATGAGTGTCCTTTCCTAAACAGAGAGCAATTACTGATGGTGGTGACCTTCTACTGGTGACTACTGTTATGACTTTGCTTATCACTTCCTTATATCTCCTAGTTCTGTCATCTAAATTGTTTTATGAATGGGACAACACTACAAGTATACTTTTTTGTTTGTTTGTTTTTTGTTTTTGTTTTTTGTTTTTGGTGGAACCGGGGATTGAACTCAGGCCCTTGTGCTTGCCGGGGAAGCACTTATTCCACTGAGCCATCTCCCCGGCCCCTCAAGTATACTTTTTATATTTTGTTTTATTCACTTAGTGAGACTAGTGAGACTCACTTTTACTCCCCAACACTCTCTACACATCATTTTTATATTTAAAAGCAAAACAAGTTTGATCTTTTAGTGACTTCTAAGATTCTCAATATTCCACTTAAAACTGTTGATCACTATAATATGGTTTCAACCTAAACCTTAGAGAATGAAAGTTGGTACTGCTATCAACACTCTACGACCAAACACTTCAAACCAATTACATTTAAAGCATACTTACTAGAAACAAAAATAACACGTTTTCAGATACTATCCATTGCTAGCCACTTTTATTTATGAACTATTTTAAATGCATATCCAGAAAACTTAAAAATACCCCTTTAAATGGCAGTTCCTCAGCAATTTTTCCTCAATTCCTTCATCTTATCTACACATTTGCAATGATCCGCTTCAAGTCCTGACTGTGACCTGCTTTCCTTAACTACCAGTGATTCTCAAAGTACAGAACCTGTAAGCAGATTCTATGATAAAAACATTTCTCAATAAGAGACAGTGACTCACATTTGTTTCAGGATAGGCCGTGTCCCTGACATCTAACTTGTTAAGAGGCAGAAAAGTGACTTCTCCAGGAAGATTCATTTTATTAAACTCCATTAAAATCTTTGTGCTGACTTCATCTGAATCAACAATGTGATAAAATAACCTACATAAAACAAAGTAAGATACACCTTTACTAGTAAAGTGTTAAAAACTTAAAGCAAAAAAATTCACTTTTTTTTCCCTATGCAATAGAATCTGTACAGGGGAAAAGGAATTCTAACAAAAGGGGGGAGCATCAAGGGAGAAAGTTCTAGTTTCTACAATTAGAAACAAATGTTTAGCATCTACTTCTTTATTAGGTTAAGGAACAGAGGATACAAGAAAAACACAGAAGACAAATTGTACTAAAACTATAAAAAGTTAGGTCTTAGGTTACTCCTGTTCCAAGTACCATAATAGCAATCAAAAAATTTCACCTGTTCCCTGCAGTGACTTCCACACATGTGTAGAAGGCTGGCTCACATTCAAAGTTATTCATCACAATGCCATGATAGCCATTTTGAACATGCTGGTTTATTCCTTTTCGACGAAAGTGGTCTAGCACTTTGTTTATGCTGTCTATTCCATTTAAAATGGCCTGTAAATTGTTTGGTGCAAAACACTGTCACTAATGGCACTCTTGCTGCTAAGAAATAAGCCCACTGTACCAAACATTTCAATATATGCCAGAGAACCCCCACCAAATACATTTTCTCCTAAAAACATGCCAAGTCCATGTAACAACAGTTCATATTATGTGTTCTGCTCTATGATGCTAATGTTAAAAATGGGTTCATCTAAAAAGTGTTATCATTCATTAATACGGGTTGTAGAGTTGCTTAATTCCCGTTGTTTCATATTCATAGAATAAAGCACTTGGACTCTTATTGGAACAACCTAGAGTTTGAAACTAATAATATCTGGTAGGATAATGACTGACTCTAACTTAGGTAGTGGAAAGAACAAGCCCACCTTCCCCGTCGCGGCTCTAAGAAGTTGCTGCTTCTTTTCAAGATCTTCTCTTTTAGCAGCAAGCGCTTGTTGTTCTGCATTCTCCTCTCTCCACAGGTAGCTAAACAGTAAGGTTGGACAGCCTTTAATTTTTATACATAAGCACCAAAATTACATGGTTTACAGTAAGAATTAAAATCAAACTTGAATAGGTAATTTTTAACTTAAAAACCAGGTAACAACCAATAACTAGAATTACTTAAAAAAAAAAAATTAAAGCATATTTTCATCTATACTAACTTTCTTTCACTTTGTAATTCATCTTTCTTATTTTTTACTTCGTAATATTTTCTGTCCAGTTCTTCTACTCGTGCTTTGACTTCATTAAGATCCTGATCCAGTTTCTGTGGAAATAAAAAGTACAAATGTAAAATTCAATTTCATCAAACTAAGCCACAATGACAGAAAGAAGATCAATGATTCCAACAGAATGGGGAAGAAAAGCAAAAAGTGAGGGAGGAAATACCACAGAAATGAGAAACATTTTTGAGTGATCAACATGTTTAGTGATGTTTTTACATGTGGTAGCTTATGTTGAAAGTCATTAAATGATACTTATATAAAGTTACTATATAAGTTATACCTCAATGAAGCTACTGAAAAACCCAATTTCAATTTTTAAAAGGTATCTTTACGTAGGATATACCAAAAATACATACCATAATATTTACTATTCTATAAAATATTGCTAAAATGAAGTAGCTTTTCTAGTAATAGATTACTATTACTTTTAATATACATTTCAGAATTTTAGAAGAAAAAAATATAACCTACAGAGAAAATGTAAAACATTATATTGTAGTTTATATTGGAACTAAGTTTTCTTCATAGCATTTGCTAGGGTCAAGATAACACTACTATCAGGACAGTGCAAACTTCAGTATGCATAAATTATATTACATAAACTCAAAAAACATAAATTAGCAAAAAAATGTTTTATCTTTCATACTATGTTCAAAATACACTTTGAAAAACTTAACTCGGGGTAGTGCCAAGAAGCAAATGGCTCTTTTATATAATGCAATCAGCACTGTTAGCGATCTCTATGCAGAACAGAACAAACTATCTTCACAAACGGTCATTTTTATAATCAAAGATGTGGCTGAAACACTGGAGAAAAAATAACCTTCAATCTTGAGAATGAATAAAGCTTCTCATTATAAAAATCTCAGTTTATCATCAGGATCTTCAAAGAGAGTATTTGGTGATACTGATGACTCATGAACTCAGAACAAAACTCATTTTAAGAAAGGACGTGAAAGCGATCTAGTTGAAAACAACCAGCTTCCACATAACTACCTAGACTGCCCGGTGTTTTTTACTGTTCAGCAAGTATACTAACTAAAACTGCTACCAAAACTGACTTTTGAGATCACTACGCTTACTCTTGGTCACTTCACTCACCAAGTGAGTTGACCACTCTAGGGACAATGGTGTTTATTCACAACTACTTTTTGTTCTATTTAATTATTTTACTTTTTTGCTTCAAATGCCTTCAGGGCAGGTTTGGCTGGCTGGAGTTGTGGGGATCGAACCACAGCAACCTGATCCTGACTGCTTTATTGAAACAGTCACTTAAAGAACTGAGTCTATTTAATTATTTAAATATTAAAGGAGTATAAAGAACAGCTGCTTAAAAACCTGATTAAAATTTTGGACACATTCACAAAGCCATAATAAAAGTTCTTACGTTATATTGCTCCAGATTTTTCTCCTTGTTTGCCTCTGTGTCCTCCAAATCCTTATGTATAGCTGCAATCTGTCTTTTCTTGTCATTTATAGCCTGATCTAAAGACTTGAGTTCTTTTTTAATCCATTTATCTCTGTCTTCTTTTGATGTAAACTGGCTTCCACGACCCTGCTTTGCATAAAGATCTGTTCTTTCTTGGGTAGCTTGAGCCAATCTACACAAAAACAGGAAATAACCAAGTTTAGTTGCAAACACTAACATCAACAATAATCCAGCTTTAAAAATTATGTCTAAGAAAATATAAAAATCAATTGTAATAGCTCATACTCTACAGGTTTCAGGGAGATCCAGTGAACTCTAGGTCTGGTGAGTAAAGCTAGACAATGCCAGTATCCTATTCTCAGTAATTTTCAAGCGAGTTTCAACTAAATTTAGCTACATCAACATTTTCAACTCTTTACAATAAAGACACTGAAGATGAACAGTGATGAAAACAGTATCTAACATAGAATATCAAGGTTCAAGTTACATAAAACTTTCTTATAAAAACAGTAAGGAGGGGAAAATGTGAAGAAAAAACCGGGCCAAGAATATAAACAGGCAACTCACTAAAATAATCTAAAGATGTGTAACATACTATATGAAAGCATGAGAAATTGAAAAATAGTAGCAAATTCAACCGAGGACAGATTCTAAAATATCTACAAAGCCAGCACTGAATGACAAAAGAAAACTACACATGAAATATAGAATACCACTTGAATAAAAACAATGTTTTTTAAAACCTAACATTTAGCTACATTACCTTTGAATTAATGAAAGCACCTCCTTGAGAATCAAGTTTGAACTTAAAGGATAACATCAATCTTCTTAGTAACAACATGTAAGTGGTATATAGGCAAGAGCCCAGGACTTGCACAGCTGTGTAATACTGGCTACTATTATTTTCAGATACATTTAACTTTGCCCTTCATTACTGTGATAACACCTTAACCCATTAATTATGTAAGTTCTATAGAAGAACTGTAGAAAAGTAATTGTTGGTAAAAATTTCCAGACATTTAAAAAAAAAAAAATTCCAAACCTAGCAATTCCTCGCTCTTCTTTTTCTTTTACACTGTTGAATTTAGGTTCCGTTTCTGCCAGTTCTTTCTGCTTTTCTTCTATTTTTTCAAGCAATTTTTGCCTCTCTTTTAATAAACGTTTCTGTAAATGAAGCAGAATGAGTAAAAATGCTACATCTAAAATTTTTTGGCTAATTTTGAAGTCTATCATAAAATGTTTTCTCATGAAAAAACCAATACTGCAACACCAAACTACAAGAAATTTAAGCATACAAGCTGTCAGGAAAAAGTTCTACAATTCCTCCTCACCTGAACATTCTTAAGGCTCATTTTTAGCTTGTCTTGTGTTTTTTTGTTTTTCATGTATTTAGTACAGAGTCTACAGGGTCTCACTACCTAGATTAGACTTACAGTGATCTTCCTGTTTTTAGCCTCCCAAGCCCTAGGATTATAGGTGCGCAATCGCCATCTCAGCATGCCCAGGCGCAGGGCCGCACAGCATGCCAGCATCAAACCCTACGGCTGTGCTCTACCTAAGCAAGTGCTTTAGTCTGCTGAGCTATCAGGCCTGCCCTCTGTTTGTTTGCTTGTTTTTAGCGGAACTGGGAATTGAACTCAGGCCCCTGGCAAGCGCTTACTCTACTGAGCCATCTCCCTGTCCCATTTTTTGTTTGTTTTGAGAGTTTAGCTATGTAGTTCAGGTTGACATAGAACTCATGGTGATCCAAGTGTTGGCAATACAAGCACACGCCACTGCACCTGGCTTTCATTTTCACCACATTAACTCACCCTTTGTTCACTATTGCCTGCTAATTCATCTTGTAAATCCTTGGCTTTAAGCTCCAATTTGGTCCTCTGCTTAATTTGCTCTTGTCTTTCAGCACTGAGCTGTTCTTTTTCTTCTTTCATTGCTGAAATCTTCGTTTTCAATTCTCTAACTTGCCGCTCAATATCCTATTCAAAAAGAATTAACCGAAAAGTTGGGCAATTAGACATACAGGAGCAGAATTGTGGCTCCATTCACCTGTTCTCTGTTCTTTCACTCACAGTTTTAGTACCACTTTGTCTAATAACTCCCGACTCCTCCTGTGGTTACCATTCTGTAACTCTGGTACAAAAAGGGCTTCATTCGGTCAAAAATACAAGTAAATCTCAATCTTGTTTATAATTTTACCTCCATCTTATCTCTTGCATCTTGCTGGGCATCTCTTAGTTGTCTAGATTTTTCTCCACTAGTTTCTCGCTTAGCAGAAAGCTAAAGGAAGAAAAACCACACCACTTTTAACTTATTTTGTATTTAATGTTTCATAACATCTACAATATTTTATATCTGCTAAATTAATCTACAAGATCACTTACAAATTTTGTAAAAATTTCCTTTAAAATAATTTTTGTTCAAAGTGCCAAGAACACATTTTGTAAAATATACTAAGAAAAACATTCACAATTTTTTTTTTTTTTTTTGTGTGTGGAAGCAGGGATTGAACATAGGGCCGTGCACTTGCCAGGCAAGCACTTATTCTACTGCGCTATCTCTCTAGCCCCCACAAAGTTTTAAAGATAGTTTCCCTCACATCTGGTCTGCCTGACATCATCATCACTTCAGATAAAACCATAACAAGGATCACACAGGTCTAGGCATTTTCCTTAGAAGAAAATGAAAAGAAAAAAGTTGGGTCTAAATGAATTCATAGATTCGTAGTTCTTAAGTTTCTAAAAGTTAAAAATCATTAAAAAATATAAACACAGCATGAGCCTGGCAAGCGTAGGGTCCTGAGTTCAATCCCCAGTACCGCAAAATACATACATACATACATACATACATACAGGATGAATTTAACATAGTCATAAAAATCAATTATAATTGCATAAGTAAATTACCTCATCAAGTTTAGCACGAGTCTCATTAAGTTCCTGATTATAAATGGTATATTCTAGGGCTCTTCTCATCTTATCCCACTTCTGATATTGAGCTAGCTCTTCCTTTTCTTCCTCTAAAGTATGTAATCTCTCTTCAATGTATTTTAACAACTCATTGATCTTTTCACGCTTGCCCTCTTCAAAAAAAAAAAGAGGAAGTGAAGAAAATGAATAAAAATTTTTAATGTTAATTTCACTTTTCAAATGTACCATGAACTAAATTTCCTAAAAACTATAGCATTATTTGATATTATGTGACAACTAAACTTAGGAAATTAAAATGACATCACACTTTTAGATCCAAGAACAAACTTACACATGGTGAAAATGATCCTTATATTACATGTGGAAAGGGCCTCGGTTTAATTTTTGTTTTTAAGTCAATGTGCCTTCCCATACATTAAAAAAAAACTAACATCATTGGTGTTGCAAATCCCTCTTTTTATTGATAGTTGCATCATCTATAGCTAGGGCATACTGTAAATAGTCCAGTCTTAGGACTCTACTCTTCTACTCAGTCTACTAAACAGGGCTACACAGAGAAGCTGTGGACCAGAAACAACCCTAAAGTCACACTGTCTTGTTTGTTACTGGTGAGATTCTAAACCCAGTATGACTAAGCCATAATGTGACACAGCACTTGAAAAGCAAAGTAAAATTTTCATAGTAAATGTGCTAATGAAGATTCCAAGCTCAAATTTTACATCTGTGTTCCTGGACAACTTAGGCCCACTGTCAGCTGCTAACTCCAGTACCTGGGGGGAAGAATAGGAGTGCACTCGAATTTGTCGCCACTAATAGTGATAAGAAAGCTAGTCACAGTGACAGCTGGTTTGCAAAGGACCTAAAATAAGGTCTTAAAACAACAGTACTTCTTTACTCAAAGATAGAAATTAATGTAAATTTCAAACATTAAACTGCCTCAAAAAGATTCTCTCTCCATTCAGAAGATAGGCAAATTATCATATATTTCTGAGAACACTTTTTAATTATAAAACAGCAATAGGCTAGGAAGACAGCATAGCGGTCTAAGCACCTGCTTGGCAAGCACAAGGACCCGGGTTTGACTCCCAGTACTGCCTGCCTTGTGGCATGCTGTGCTGGCCCCAAAACCAGGAATGGTGGTGCACACTTGTAATCCCAGTGCTGGGGAGGCTGACATAGGAGGATCATTGAGTCTAAACTGCATAGTGAGACCCTGTATCCAATGAATAAATTTTAAAAAAGTAATACAATGATAAAGTAAGTTTCAACAAAAAAAATGCAGTTCCCCCACTTATTTTACCTGTTTCCTTCATTAAAGAGATGCTTTCTTCTTTTCGTTCATCATATACTCTAGTACCAGCTACTTCTCTTAATAACTTTAGTCTCTGAGAATCTGGGGCTGTTGCCATTTGATTGATCTAAAGATTTTAGAAACATAATCATCACAAAACTATAAAATTGCTACTGAAAAATATGAACCCTACCTTGAAAAGAATACACACACATACACACACACATAGGAGCTTAGTGATTTGGCCAGTACAATATATATAACACATTATAACACATATACTAATATCTGTATATCTGTACCTCAAATGAAACTTACCAAATAAAGCTAACAAATATGTTCACCAGGTTTTTATGAGTAAGACTAATACAACTGAAAATGATCCCTGCCATCATTTTTTCTTGGCCAAAGTAATAAGGTATAAAAAGATGAGCTTCAGACTGGGGAGATGGCTCAGTGGAATAAGCGCTTCCCTGGCAAGCGCAAGGACCCGAGTTCAATCCCCAATTCCGCCAAAGGAAAAAAAAAAGATGAGCTCTTTTCTCAAAGAATTAGGGAACATCATCGCTGAGTATATGTCTTTTAAAAAGCTACATGATTAAAAGTACAGGAAATAGCATTCTCTAAACATAGAGAAAATGCTACAACCTAAGTGCCATGCAACTTAACAAACATCACTAAAGTCAAAACTGCTGTTGTCACCACATAAAAATTAATGTGATAATCACTTTGACACTCTACAGAGAACAGGCACCAAGATAAGAAAGTATCAGAAGTGTATATACATCAGAGTCCTAAACCAAAAATAAGCAAAGACAAAATTCTAAACCCACAAACCCTACTGAAGGGCAAGTTTGAAAAAAAGTAGCTTATACTTGAAAATTATATGAGGAAACAGCATAACAATGAGCTAAAGTTCATAGTAGCTACTAAGTAGTATGTATGCGGTATTATGCTGTATCTCTTCAATGTAAGCTTTCAGTAAATAAGTCTGCTGAAATACTATCTCAATGATAGACCTATTTAGTACCTCCTAGCCTCATAAAATACTTCAATACAAAATAAATCAATAGGGGCTGGAGAGATGGCTCAGTGGTCTAAAGCACCTACTTGAAACAAGCTTGGCAAAGCACAAGGACCGCGGTTCGATCCCCAGCACCACATGCCAGCCAGCCCCGCCCCCTGGTGGGCTGAGCTGGCCACACACACAATAAATAAATGTAATAAATAAAAATAAATAAATATTTAAAAAAAAATAAAATAAATCAATAAAACGAGACAGTAAGATCCACTTTTGCTACAGTTTAACAATTAGAATCAAACCACTTTACATTAACAGGAAAAATACACTCAAAAAATATTTCTGTAAAAAAGGAACATCTAATTGTTTTTACCTTTCCTTGTTTAACAATATAATAAGGATTGCTCCGAGAAAAGCCAGCACTTTCAAGGAGGTTCATCACATCATTTTTTCTGTTGATAAACACCAAAATTCCTATTAGGTAATTCTGAAGCACCCAACAAAAATAAGCAAACTACCTCCTGGGTCAAATGGTCTTAGAAGTACAGATTCGCCATTAAACCACCCTCATTGTATCGACTTTAGAAAACATTGTGATTAACATGTTCATCTTCTAAATACAAAGTTGTTAGACATAAAGTTATTTATACCTCATATATGCAGAAAGTAAAGGAATATTTTAATTCTTTTTAAAAGAAATTGATTCTGGACATAGTGGCACACACCTGTAATCCCAGCATTTGGGAGGCTGAGGAGGGAGGGTCGCTGCAAGTCTGAGGCCAGTCTTGCTACACAATGAGTTCAAAGCCAGTCTGAATTACTTAGTAAGATAGTATCTCAAATAAAACAAGTAAAAATACAAATTGTCAGGGTAAAGAAAAAAGCTTACGTGACCATCTTCTTATCTAAGAAATACTGATCTTTTTTGGCACCAATAACTCTTCGAAGTGAAACTTCCTCTTTATCAATCTAATAAAAAAAGTAAAAGCTCAAAGTTAATTCAACATAAAATAGAAAACTTTTTAGGTAATAACGTAATTTTAAAGACCTTGACCACGATCATTTTAAAGTTTCAATTATCTCATTGAAGATGATGCTACTCAAGACAAAGATATTTTTTACAGCAGCTTTCATAATCCTATGTGTTGTTTACTAAAATGTTCATTACAATTAAAAGACAAAAATCAGGAGTCAAACTATATAATTATGTATTATTTTATAATAAAAAATACGTGAAAGATGAAGTAGGTCCATAAATGTTTTAAAATATGAAGAAATTAGCTATATCAATAAAATTCTCAGCACTAGTATCAAAAAGAGTAAGTTACTTACTGGTAACCGATTGTCTGAATTGTCAAAAATAATTTCCACAAAAGCAGAAATAACCCGAGGACCAGTACCCTCCTGGAACATGAGAAAAATGGGAAACTCATCATTTAAGCAGTATTTTCATATTAAGCACCTTTTCTGAACAGTGCAAGTGCTCAGGATCACTCCCAGTCTTGCACATAAGCACACTCGCAGAGCCACACCCTCATCCCTGTCTTTAAACACTTTTCAAAGTTCAGTGTATAGTAACAAGCTGCATTCAATGAAGAAAAATGTCTATCAGATTAATACATATCCTTTTTGTCAAGATACCAGGGACATAGAATCAAGATAACAAAAGTCTCAATTTTTGATTCTGAAAGAACTATGCTAAAGATACCTAAGTTAGATTCTGCAGACTATGTACATTATTAGACCACAAAACCCCACCGTCACCTAATTCCTCCCAGTAGCTAATAGCTAATACACCTTGAGGCTCTTGAAGCCTCATCTTTATGCTGGAAAGAAATAAAAAATCATGAGGTTACTGAAATTATTTATATGTAGTTTTACTAACCCTTACAGATATTTACACAATTAACACAGCACATTTAGACCAAACTATTATACAACTACACACCAAGTCCAGATGATTTCCAGTTTTTCTTTTTCTTTCTTTTTCTTTTTTGTGGAACCAGGGATTGAACTCAGGCCCTTGCGCTTACCAGGAAAGCACTTATTCCACTGAGCCATCTCCCTGGCCCCATAGTTTTCAGTTTGCAATCATTCAACAGATATTGAAAGGAAGGGTTAATCATTTGATCAATTTGCATGCCTGGATCTGGTAATCCGAGCAACAAACTTGATGATAACATGTAATAACCACTGTTAGTTTTCGATCCCTGGTTTGGTTTTTTTTTTTTTCATTTGTTTTCAATTACTACTTTTATTGTTTTATGTTGCTTTTTGTCTTTGTTCTTGTTATCTGCTTTTGGGTTTCTTTTCCTCTTTAAAATAAAATTTAAAAATTTTAAAGTCATTCAACAGAATGAAGAATGATATCTAAAGAGATTATTAATTCTCTTAATGCCTATCTGAGAAACTAAAAAAAAAAAAACCTCGTTCAGGTACTGATCCCGATTATTGGGCTACAAATTCAAAATGAAAAGATAATGAGTTAAACAAAAGAACTCTCTACACATGACAAAAACTTAAGATATATTGAGGAATCTCATTTTGTCTTATAATAAATATTTTTCACAGGCTGGGGAGATAGCTCAGCAGTCTAAGCGCCTGCCTGGCAAGTGCAAGCACCCAGGTTTGATCCCCAGTATCACATGCTGTGCCACTGTGTGGTGTGTAGGCCATCAGAACCAGGGATGGTAGCACACGCCTGTTATCTCAGTGCTGGGAAGGCTGAGACAAGAGGATCACTAGAACTCTGAGCTAGGTAGACACTGTACCAAATAAATAAAAGATTAAAAAATAAAACATAAAGTATTTTTCATATTTTCCTAAATACCAACGTAGTTTTTGGTATGCAATGGCTATTTCTCCATGTCACCAATAATTCTAGTTGTGCATCTTAAAATTACTAACTCCCAATCTGAAATTCTTTTTTCCCAGCAAACCTGTCTCCAGACCCTTACTATCACATCTTTAAAAATTTTACATGGATAACATATCCATTTGGAGGCAAGCCTACAATTTTCTTTTATTTTTTTTTTATTTTTTATTTTTTTTATTTTATTTATTTATTTGTGTGTGTGTGTGTGTGTGTGTGTGTGTGTGTGGCCAGCTCAGCCCACCAGCAGGCAGGGCTGGCTGGCATGTGGTGCTGGGGGATTGAACCGCGGTCCCTGGGCTTTGCTAAGCTTGTTCTAAGTAGGTGCTTTAGACCACTGAGCCATCTCACCAGCCCCCTTCTTTTAACCACTTATAAAAACTAGGCCTTTATCTAGCACCAATGTAGAAGTCTTCAACTCACAACTTAGGAACACACTTAGGAGACACACAGTATCATGTTTACAACTGATTGAAACTTGAACAAGTGATTTTTATTAACCAAGATTGACAATGTATTTTTTTTAAGTGTATCTAAAAGTAATCTCACTCACATGTAACAAAGCCAAACGCTGTTCTGGGCGAAGATGACTGAATTCATCACTGAGAACGAATTGTATTGCTAAAAATACAAAAGCACAGTTGTTAGTATACCCTAAAATATGTGTCCTTTTTTTTAAATAATTTCTCATACCTTAACAGACTACAACCTGTCAGGTAACACACTGTAGAGAAAATAAATGACCTGTTTCACACAGACCAAATTACCACTGAAAAGATCCCTGCACAATGGACTAATTAGACAAGAAATGCTGTGACAAAAATATTAAGCTTTCACTGAGCCAGGTATAGTTAGCAAGATGGTAAGTGTAAGTCCACCTTGGGCAACTTAGTGAGACCCTGTCTCAATATAAAAAGATTTTTAAAGGGGGGAGGTGTTTCATCCCAGAACAAAGGCCTTGGATTCAATCCCCAACTGGGGTATGAAGCGGTTATTTTTTACTGAAACATGTGAGGCAAGAAAAACAGAAAAAACACCGAAGTACAAACAATGAGAGAAGCAGAACTAAGAGCTACTTCTCAATCAAAACACACACTGACTGGTTAGGGTAACACTATACAGTCATGCACTGCACAACAACAAACCACATATACAATAGTGATCCCACAGAATTTTCTTTAGTAAGACTAAAGAAAACTCTATTGCCTAAAAAAAAAAAGATACTGCCTGGTGACATCATATCCAAATTACCATCAAAATGCAACACATCTTTCAAAACTAAGAAAATACCGGGAAATGTTTTAATTCCCAACTCTACTGTACTGTTCTTACCTTCTATACAATTACAGGAACCATTCCTATCTTTCAGAGTGCCTAACGAGACTACCATGCCCAAGAAAATGAACTCTTTTAACTCACATAAAAGACCTCTGACATCCTGTCTGTTAGAGACTTCTGTCAGGGAAGGTGTGTCTAAGGAGACTGGCTACCTGGCTGGATTCCTACTGCCCTTAAACGTGTGGGGTTCTGAAATACACACTCCACTACAATGTGCTCTCCTGCCATCAGGAAATCACAATCATCACAAGGGTATACAGTGTACAGCGTCTTTGGGATTTACAATATATTGCACAGAATAAGCTATGAATAAAATAAGCTTTGAAACTCTTTTTCTCAAAAGTAGTACCCAACCAAGGAGTTCAAACTTTGTTCAATCTATTCCTTTTGTCAATTCAATTCTGTTAAAATGTTTTTTTCTCCTAAAAAATAGATCAGAAGCACTATTAAATATAGTTTATCTTTAGAGAACTTTCAAAGTTCTACTTACTATATTCAAACTGACAGTATAGTCTTTGAGTCTCAAGTTCTTTATATCCTTCCATTCTTTATAAAAGTGATTGGTTTAGGACATGTTTAATGGTAAAACAAACAGCTTTCCCTAATCACTATTCTATTTCATTTACGAATTTTTACATATTTATTTATAGCTATTTGTTGCACTCAAGCTCTAAAAGTGCTTTAACACATTATTTTGATTCTCAAAACCCATCTAAGAACATTTCCATTTTAACAGTGAAAGTAATTTGAGATGTTTCACTAAGTTTCACCTAATTGCTCACTAGTACAGAATAGAATGTAACTCGTTATACTCTGAGAAGTTTACCTTCTATACTAAACCATTACCATAACATGTATTTTGTGGATTTCATGCAGATATAACCTTAGAAAAGCAATTATTGCAATTAACTTAAGATATCAAAGTCTTAATATATACAGAATTTAAATACCTACCATAAAAAAAGTTACTTTTTCCAGATCCATTTCTTCCCACTATAAAATTTCAAAAAGTACAAATTATTTTATACAGAAGATCAATAACACAAACTACATGTGCTAAAATCTTTTAAATCCAATTTCATAATAACTTTAATCTAAATTTAAATGACTGATGATAAAAGAAATTAATAAAACCAAATGAGTAATTTTTTATAAATTTCAGGTACTTTTTTTTTTTTTTTTGCGGAACCAGGGCTTGAACTCAGGCCCTTGCGCTTGCCAGGGAAGCGCTTATTCCACTGAGCCATCTCCTCTGGCCCCATCAGGTACATTTTTAAAAAGGCATTTCATCATTGTTTTTCCTTGTTTTTCTCCAACCGTTTAAATAGATATCAGCAGATATGCTATTTGGTATTCATAATTTATAATCCTAACAATGGATGTGCAATTCTATTTAATTATATGTACTATGTTTCCAAATTTAGACTTACATATAGTTAGCATTCTAAAAATACTTAAAATTCTACAATAGTCTCATGTTAAACTATTTATATCAACCCTAAACATGTATAGTCTCACAGAACTACTAATGTATAGGAAATTACGTCTTTTTTCTTGCAACTTGATTTCAAATATAAGCAGTTCTACATTTACAAAAGGGTATCAAATACTTTTGATTTAATGGGTTGGTTTAGTGAAAGTGTTCAAAAATCATGAGCAACTATGTTAATTTTTCTCAGTTTTGACCAAAACAGCCTAGATACTTTATCTACAAATAAGTTACTTATTATCTACATGCAAGGCCCGGTAACATACATCTTTAATCCCAGCACTCCTAGAGAGGAGGCAAGATTGCAAGCTTGAGCCCAATCTAGAAAAAGGGTGGGAATGTGCTCAGTGAAAAGGCCCTGGTTCAATCCCCAGTAATGTACACACATATGCATACAACAGGCAGCAGAGCCGAATGAAAGGGACTTTTACTGGCTAAATCGAGGGTACTATGAGCACCAAAGTAACTTCCTAAATATTACTGGTGGGATGAATAATGCATGACATTCATATTAATAATAAAGAAAGGTAAGTAGGTAAGGAGAGGACTTTTGCTTACAGAATACCAAGCGTCAACTAATAAAAAGTGAAAGGAGCACTACAAATAGCATCATTCTATAATCATCAAAATAAAGACAAGACTTATCAAAGGATGCTAAATGTAAGGAAAACTTTGATAAGAAGCATAATATTTGCAGGATCCAAAACCATCTTCCTAAATATTTATTAGTTCCAAAGGAAAAAATAATAACTGCATGGTGAAGGACATTGGCTACTACCTTTGGCCAATCACAAGTAATACAGTATCACCCATAAGAGATGGAAAGAAAGACCTCACTGTGCCTCCAGCTGTGCTACCCTGAGAAGGATAACTCATTTAACTAAAAATGTACTAACACACGAATGCCATAGCCATACTGCCAGGTGGGTGGTACAAGCACCACTGTCCCACCAGATGGCTTTTTACTCAATCCAAGAATCGACCAGTTCAAAAGACACCTGCCTGAGCATCACTTGAAATAGTATGTAAACAAACACACTGCCTGTGAGACACAGGGGTAAACCATTATTAAGTGGATATTTTTATCACTGAAAAGATAAAAGTACTTCAAACCATTTGTACACCAGTGGTACAAGCCACCCAGTGGGAGTCGTGCCTGTATCATTGAAGGTTAAGGTCAGCAGGAGTGTGTTAAAGACAAACACAAACATACACACACACACACACACACACACACACACACACGGAAAGCCTACAGAAAGGATTTAGGTAAAGGAGCATAAAAAGATACAACACTGAAATTCAAAACCTGGCCCTAAATTGAACCCTATTAACACAGGGATGCTATGAAGAATCTTTCTTGGTCAATCAACACGCCTGAAAAATGGACAAATTATTATATTTAAGTTAAATTTACATAAGCTGATAACTACACCATGATGATGTAAGAGAATCTCCCTATTCTTCTAAAGTACACAATGAAACCAGGCAAGATAGCACACTGCTATTATTCCAGCTCTTCAGAGACTGAGGACTCCTATAATTCCGGCACAGTTCAGATGGGGCAGACCCTTGGGTTCAACCCCAGAACTATACAAGAAAAAGGTATGCACTGAAGTCAGAGGCAAAAAAATTACAGAGTGCATAACTTATTTGAAAAATATGCATAGAAAACACAAGAGAGTGTGCAAAAGGTTAAGAAAAGCAGAGAAAATGTTAACCATAGGTAAACTAGGAAAAGGGTACTTTTAATATTCTCTGTACCATTCTTTTTTATTTATTTAGGACAGGGTCTACAGGGTCTCATTGCATAGATCAGACTCATAGTGATCCTCCTGTTTACAGCCTCCCAAGAACTGGGACTACAGGCACCCACCACCATGTCCAGTCTCAATGGCTCCGGGGGCAGGGTGGGCAGGCAGGCTCAGGGATCGAGCTCCCAGTCCCTGATCCAGCCCCTGTGTCTGCCTAAGCAGGCACTTTAATCTGCTGAGCTATTTGGCTGGCCCTCTGTACCATTCTTACTGGGGCAAATTATCCATAAAACTGAAATTATTTTTATTTTTTTATGCTTTTTTTCCTAATGTATTTAATACAGCATGTACAGAGTCTCACTACACAGGCTGAACTCCTAGTGATTCTCCTGTTTTCACCCTCCCAAGCGCTGGAATTACAAGCACAGGCCACCATGCCCACTCTTAATCAGCCCAGTCTCATCAACAGTTCAGAGAGCCCCGGGGCAGGCCATATGGCAACTGGGAATCAAACCCCAGTCCCTGCATCTGCCTAAGCAAGAATTATTTTTAAATAAAGGTTTAAAGATAATTTATTACATGACTTTAAATATGTGATTTATAATCCATTCATAAGTAAATAGAAAAAAAAAAGTTTTGTGTAGTACAGGACATTGAACCCAATACTTCACAATAAAGTATTTATCCAGTCTTTCTTTTATTTATTTATTTATTTATTTATTTATTTATTTGAGAGAGAGAGAGAGAGAGAGAGAGAGAGAGAGAGAGGCCAGCTCAGCCCACCAGGGGGCGTTCTGGCTGGCATGTGGTGCTGGGGGATTGAACCGCAGTCCCTGATGCTTTTGCTAAGCTTGTTCTAAGTAGGTGCTTTAGACCACTGAGCCATCTCTCCAGCCCCCAGTCTTTCTTTTTGAGACAGGGTTTGCCAAGTTGCTGAGGCTGGGCTTGAATTTTTAATCTTCTTGCCTCAGCCTTCTGGAGCTGGGATTATAGGCATCTATCACCACACCCAGCTGAAATTTTTGAAATTTCCCTGTAAGAATTTCTCCTACCCACAGTGAAACCCTATTTAGTAATTTTAAAGGATGGTGAATATTTGACAAGGAAATACATTCAAGATTTATTCCAAAGGAGAAAAATAAGCTTGCCAGCATACCACATGGTGGATTCATTTTACTCCAAAGGCACACTTCCAGAGGCACAGAAGATAGTGGCACCTTGCGGCACACCAAGTTCACAGGCACCCCAGATTCACTTCCTCACCCAAAGCCTTGCTGCTCATTGGTGTAGCTTGTCTCCTAAGACCTCTGGTTACTGAACCTATTCCAAGGCACATTCAAATCAGACCTGTGAAGACCACTTCAGGGCAGTTAGCCCGCACAGCAACACACTCCAAAAGCACAAAGGTAATAACCTACGTAGGAAACTTTGACTGATGGAAGACACTGCCAGCTAACAAGCCTCTCTCCACTCCTCTCCCACCTGACCTCTCTACTGCAAGGCGCCTTGATGTAGTCTGTCTGGAAGTTATCCTAACCCAGCTGCATTTTTTACAAAACTTGGTCAGCTTTGCCCCTCACTCTTGCCTTCAGACAGCATCTCCCACTAGAGCCTAAACAGCTTAGCTTTCCTACATTTTCCTACAAAAACTGGGCTGACATGTATAGATGGGGGGTGCGGAGAACCTACAGTACATGTGCAGCAGAGGGCTATTACCTAAAAGATTGCCATTATTATGATTATGATTATTAAAAAATTAACGTCTGGCTACAATTACAATTTAAGTTTTCTCCTTTTAGCTTTTATGTTCTTCTATAGCATCTGAGTTGATATATATTTCTTTTGTGAAAAAGCTTGGGAAGCTGGGCACAATGGCTCCACTTGGAAGCTCAGGTAGAAGAAATGTTATGTTCAAGGCCAGCCTGTACAACTTAGCAAGATCCTGTCTCAAACTACAATTTACAAAGGCTGGGACTGCTGCTCAGTGGCCAAGAGCACTTGCCTATAATATGTGAAGCCCTAGGTTAAATCCACAGTAGTGAATAAACAAACAGGGTTAAAAGAACCCTAAAAAGGTGAACTCCATATAGTCATCTCTCATATCCATAGGAGAATCATTCAAGGACAACCCTCTCACATAGTGGACATCAAAATCCAATGATGGGGGCCAAGGAGATGGCTCAGTGGAATAAGCGCTTCCCTGGCAAGCACAAGGGCCTGAGTTCAATCCCCGGTTCCACCAAAAGAAAAAAAAAAAAATCCAATGATGCTTAAGTCTCTTACATAAATGGCATACAGTACACATAACCTACATATATTCTCTGTAACAATGCTTGTACTATGTAACATGAAGGCTAAATGAGATTAAAAATCAGTTAAAAATGGTTCTCACTGTTACTTTTGCCATAAATGCTATGTAAAGTTATCCAGTAATGTTTAGAAAATGACAAAGGAAAATGTCTACATGCTCAGTAAAGATTCAACTTATCTCTATTTTCAGTTTACACTTGGTTGAATCTAAGGATTGATAATAAGTAGATATGGACAGGGTGTTTTTGATATATGAATCATTCAAGCATCAGCACAAAAAATGCTTGCAAATCTTGATACTTTTAAGAGTCAAAATCATTATTAAACAATCAGAGGTATCATTTCACCAGTTATTTTTAAACTCAATCTCAGTACACACTAATTTTTGTCTTACATTATTAAGAATTTTATTTATTTATTTATTCAGTGTGTGTGTGTGTGTATGTGTGTGTGTGTGGCCAGCTCAGCCCACCAGGGGGCGGGGCTGGCTGGCATGTGGTGCTGGGGGATTGAACTGTGGTCCCTGTGCTTTGCTAAGCTTGTTCTAAGCAGGTGCTTTAGACCACTGAGCCATCTCACCAGCCCCTGTCTTACATTATTAAGGCAACTGTTTTTATTTATTTTTTTGAGACAAGGTCTCACTATGCAGTTAATGCTACCCTTGAATTCAGTACATAGCCCTGAGTTTGAGACCAGCATGGGCTATACAGTGAGTTCAACATTTAAACTACATTTAAACTAAACAGTGAGACTGTATCAAAAACAACAACCAAAAAAAAAAACAAAAAAAAAACAAAAAAAAAAAAAAACCATAGGGTTGGCCAAACAGCTCAGCAGACTAAAGCGCCTGCTTAAACAGAGTGCAGCGGCCAGGGTTCAATCCCCAGCGTGCCGTGCTGGCCATGCCCCTGGGGCACACTGAGACGGTGATAGAGACTGGGCGTGGTGGTGCACGCCTGTAATCCCAGTGCTGGGAAGGCTGAAAACAGGAGGATCATTGAGTCCCAGAGTCCCCAGCTGCGTAGTGAGACCCGATACCAAACACATTAAAAAAAAGAAAAAAGTTTTTGCACAGCAAGAGATACTACTAACAGAGTGAACAGACAACCCATGATGTGGGAAAAATGTTTAACAGCTGTTCCTCAGACAAAAGATTACTATCAAGAACATATAAAGAACTCAAAATTACCAGACTGGGGACATAGCTCAGCAGTCTAAGCACCTGCTGGCAAATGCAAGGACCCGGGTTTGATCCCCAGTACTGCACGCTATGCTGGCCATTAGCGAGCCACAGAAACCAGGAGTGGTGGCACACGTCTATAACCCCATCACTGGGGAGGCTGAGACAGGCGGATCACTAGGAGTTCCATAGCAGACTCTGTACTAAATAAATGATTTTTAAAAATTAAAAAAAAAAAATATCAGACCTCCCAAACCTAAAGACACAATCCAAAAACCGGCACTTGAGCTGGCAAGATAGCTTAGCAGACAAAATGCCTGCTTTGGCAAGCACAGGGACCAGGGTTCGATCCCTAGAACACAGACTGGTACAACCATTGTGGAAATCAGTGTGGAGATTTCTCAAAAAGCTAGGATTGGGGAGGTCCCACTTGACCCAGATATTCCCATATCTTCCTAGAATTAAAAACATCATACCACAGCAACATATGTGTACCCATGTTTATAGCAGCATAACAATTAGATCTTGGAAACAACCCAAATACCCCTCAACCAAGGAATGCATAAAAAAATGTGGTCTTTTTATACTACTCAGCAGCAAAAATGATAAACTAGACATTTTTTTGGTAAATGGATACAACTCAAGACCAAACTCCTAGGGTTGGGGAGATAGCTCAGGAGCATAAGCACCTGCCTGGCAAGGGCAAGGTCATGCATGAGTTTGATCCCCAGTACCAAAAAAAAAAAATAATA